GAGCGTCCCTATGGATCCTAAGAATGTCCTGAAAGGCTGAGGAGTAAAAAAAAGACCTTAGAACAAATGCATGTGTTTATTAGCACGACAAATAAAGTCAGCTGTGACAGACAGTCAAGGTAACGGAGAAGCTTCAAGCTCCTCACGCAGCTCCCGTCTGCTCCCGTCTCGTCATTCCCGAGTCCTCAAAGTCACTGATCGAGGGGAAACCAACCCTCTGCTCGATCCACTGGGCCACGCTGAGCAGCTTTCGGTCTTGGAGAGCGGGAGCTATGAGCTGTAGGCCAATGGGAAGGCCCCGTCTCGACAAAGCCGTCGGCACAGAGACAGCAGGGAGACCTGGTGTGCAGAGAGAGAGAGTTGAGAGAAGCTGGATGCTCTAAGTCACAGAGTGAACAGAGAACGCCGCTTCGGCTCAAAAACACCAGTTTCATTTCACTTCATGTGCAGGAGGGAAACGAGAAGCAGCTTCTTAAGCTCCTCAGTTACAGGTGTGCATGGTGTGCTTATCCCCAACATATTTAAATGCTCCTCCCACACTTCCTCTACATGCAGCTTCAGTGCCTACCTGCCATGTTGGCGGGCTGCGTGAAGACGTCTTCCTGTGCGCTGCGCGTTCGGTTATCTTCCTGAGTGAAGTCGTGGTAACGAGCCGCATCCGTCAGCGTGGTGGGCGTCAGCAGTACATCGACACCAGAGCTGAACACGCGCTGGAAGTCATTCGCAATGAGCCGGCGAACTTTCTGAGCCTTCACAAAGTAGTGCTGGTAGTTCCTAGGGGGAAAATAAAAGGACACAATTATTCTTTAGAAAAAGATCGAGAGATGGAGAGGATCACAGGATCCCTCCATGGCTCGGAAACACGACGGCTCAGTCTCACCGTTTTAGCAGGAAGTAGTTCCCAGACAGAATCCTCCCTCTGACGACGTCGTTGAAGCCCTCGTGCCTGCTCGAGGCGTACATGACCTCTGTCGAGGTGTCCATCTGGCTGCGGTGGCCTGCTGGCAGAGTCAGACTTCATCACATCCGCTATAAGAAGTGCCAAACCCACACACCACAGCACGATTCATTACCGTATTCCAGGCCGTCAAACCGGGCCATGTTGGACGCCACCTCGGCGTGGCACAGGACGTGGTAGCACACGATGGAGTACTGCGTATGGGGGAGCGACACTCGCTCCACCCGCGCTCCAGCTTCCTCAAACAAGTCGGCCACGCTGCTCCACTGGGCCAGAGTCTCCTCGGAGAGGCCCGGGGCGTGATACTCCTGACGTGCAGCACAGGAGAGACGGAACAACAGCTCAACATGTTGTTCATACTCGACTTTCATCTACCTGCCTTTGCAATCAATGCAATCATCTCAGCAGCTTCCATGTTAAGGTTCATCTCAGTGCTGACCTCAATATTCACTCCTGCAAAGTAATATGTTGGCGTGTAATGCTGAGGTAGTTTGTAGTGTCACCTTAGGGATGCCCACACAGATGTTCTTAACATCAAAGTCTTCAGGAAGCTCTGTTAGTGATGAAGGGGCGGGAACTGTTGTTGAATCTCTGACGTCGCGGCCTTGGAGGATACCTGCACGACACGACAACATAATCCCAGGTGAGTCGTGCTGTTTGGCCGATGTGCTGCGAAATGAGACAGCTGCAGTTTCCTTTAGAGCGGCAGACATTCTTATTCAGACATTCTTAATCATAGAGCTGCTGCGTGTTGATGTCCAGGGTCACCTGGGGGATTCTCACCTAAGACGACGGCCGCATCGTTCACGCTGCGTGTCATTATGCCCGGGACGTCCATGGAGTTAACGAGGGGGATGAGACCGTGTCTGGACAGCAGACCATACGTGGGCTTCAGGGCCACGACGCCACACAATGACCCGGGGTTTCGTGTGGATCCGCCCGTGTCTGAACCCAAAGCTCTGCCAAGAAGAGCATCACATGTAAACACGGAGATCCTGACAGTCTTACTGAAGACGAGAGCCCGAACAAGTCTCCTCACAGGTAGCTGGTGAGCGAGGCCACAGCTGCGGCGCTTCCACCTGAACTGCCTCCAGTGACGACCCAGTCCGAGTCCGGGTCTGCCTTCGTCCGCTCTCTGTAGGGCGCGGCGTAACCCCAGGGGTTCTTTACGGCGCCGAAAGCACCATCAGTACTGCCCGCACTGCGAGGAAAACAAACGGATCCATATGAGAAAAACTGCAGCCTACAGAAGTCTTTTTTTGTAACCTTTGTTTGTTCAGTGAATTTATCTTTTTAACCACATTTTGATTCCTCCTCACACGAGAATGCTGTGAGTCAGCGCTACACAAAGATGGAGTTTGCAAGTATAACTTAGATGGAACGGGGATGAACATTTTGAATCATGTCCAAAGAACCTGAACAACACCAGCGGGGCAATATGCATGACAATGCACGGCGCCTTGCAGTCATTCAGGCTTCATGACTCTGACAATTCCCAAACAGTAATTTTCCTGGTATGTAGTTTAGTGTTGGATATGAAGATTTTCCCACCAAAACCCTCATTTTACATAATCTGATGATGCAAACAGCTTAACAATACAGACCGACAGGACAGAAGGATCCACATGTAACTCCACAATGACTAGAAAATGAGCCAGGAGGCATCACATGTAGGCACAAAGGTCACCTTTCATCTGCTCTAACTTGTTCTGAGCAGCCACTTATCTCACATGCTGATATGAGCCTGCAAAGTTTACCCAGAATGCACTTTGTCACATTTCCTCCAGATCAAAGATCCAGTTTAACCTCCCAGTGCTGGTTTCTGTTCCTCTACATCAGAAACATTAAACTGCTGCAGTTTGTTCACACTGTGGTCGATCCATCGCACAGACGACCAGTTTGTTAGTCTGACTCTGCGCTTAGACTGCAACACTTGATGTAGGTGTGAACGGATTTGGTTGCAGATTTTAACAACACTTAAATGTTCAGTCCTGACATCTCTTCTACTTTAATCAAAAATACTGCAAAAACTCAGTTACCCCATTGCAAACTCATCCATGTTGGTCTTCCCCATTAAAACTGCCCCCTGGTCGAGGAGTTTCTGGACCACTGTGGCGTTATAAGGAGGAGTGTAGTCTGCAGGAAAAGCAGGATATATAAGTACTGGGCTGCAATGGAGTGAAAAACAAGTTGTTTTTATTAACCCACTTCACACAGACCTTTAAGCATCCTGGAGGCACATGTGGTCCTGATATTCTCCGTGCAGAAATTATCCTTGACAGCAAACGGGATTCCATCCAGAGGACCTTTGGGCACACCTGAAGGTAGAAGAGATCAAGCAGTGACACCCGAGTCACACGGAACCAAATCGAGCCCGACTTGAGATGTCCTCACCTCGCTGCAGTCTGCGTTCTGCCTGCTGAGCCTGCTCCAGAGCACGCTCCTCTGTCACCGTTATGTAAGCGTTCAGGTGCTGCGTTTTCCTGATGCGATTCAGGCATTTTCTGCAGAGCTCTGTCGGAGAGATTCGTCCCTCCCGCAGCGCTGAAGACACCTGAAGAACGACGATGAAACAGCAGAGCTGGAATCAAACTCGTGCATTTTATTAATAACATTACAGTATCACAAAGAAACTACATCGAAGCTTTTTTAACTGTGACAGTGAAGCAGCAAAAAGAATCAACGCAGGACTGCACATTCAACAGCAGACACAACACAGTGCAGACACAGCAGACTGCTGTTCTGTGGGGGACAGATGGACTGGGAGACTCCCGTGTTTCTTATATATTGCAGTCGATATATAGGAGAAAGATGCATAGCAGTGAGAATGTATGCTAATGATACTGCCTAAGGGAAGCATGTATAATGTAAACAGAATTGGTCCCAGCACTGAACCCTGTGGAACTCCAGACTCTCCATTTACATGAACAAATTAGAATCTGTTAGTGTTTCCTCTTCTTCTGCTTTTTCACTCACCATGTGTTTTTACACCTCACTGAATTTAACCATGAGTTATTAATAATCTCTGGCTCTCTTCCACAGCGCGTCTCACCCCAACCAGTCACAGCAGATGGCTGCCTCTCCCTAAGCTTGGAGATGCCGGAGGTGAGCGCTTGCTCACAGGTGTCATGTGACTGTTGGGGTTTCTGTTTCCTCTGTATAACTGTATGGTCTCGACCTTACAGTATAAAGCAGCTTGAGGCAACTGTTGTTGTGATTTTCTGCTGTAAAAATAAAGTTGAATTGAAAATGTCCTTCACGACATCCATCATCATCTGAGGTTTTCCGCTTTTCCTCCTGCCTGCAGCTCCATCTTCATCTTCCTTTCTCCAAGATATCCTCTCTCCCTCCACGGCAGATGTCCAAACCCTCTCAGCCTCTCCCCTCTAACTCTGAGTCCCTCTGATGGACTCGCATCTAATCTTCGCCATCCTGCTCACTCCCAGAGAACATCTAAACACCTTCAGCTGTCTTTTTGTCATTGCCATCGTCTCCAAATCATACACCATAGCATGCCTTCACTTCACAAATGTGCTCTGACCCCCACTGCTGTCTGTGATCCACAGTGCTCTGCGCTTCTCCATCAACATGATGCTCGCTGACCACCTCTCTGTTGTTCCTGCAGCTTTCTCATGAAATAAAGACGTCATTACAAAGCGGCACAAACGGGCTTCATTCGTTATAAACATGTTGCATATCTCAATATGAAACCGCCGCTATTCTCAGCTATGCCTTCATGCTACCTGTACGCGTTTTAGTGGCTGCTAACGCGTCACTGCGTGCTGTCTGATGAAGATGATTCGTCGTCTGATGAAGACTTCGTGTGTCGGTGAGTCGCTGCGCGGCACAGACACTGCCGTCACTGACCTGCTTTATCGTCCGGCTCAGCATCTCGGAGCACCTTTCACTTTACAAACAACCTTCCCGCAGCGAACGGCCTCTGCGAGCCGCCATGTTTGTTTCCTCTAACACGCTTGCCTGTGATTCGACAGCGGTTTAGTAACTCGCGCTCTGATTGGCAGAGACACCAGAGGAGGCAGCCGGTGTTAGGGAAGAGCGGAAGGACGTTTCCACATGAGGATTTTAAGCATTTCCACTTCGTTTAGATGAATGTGAGACTTCCACGTGTGTTTACATGACAGAGAGAGCAGGTAGGGGCAGATTTCAACCAGCTTCAACTTCTAATCTGCACACGTTGAATGCGCCTGCGCGTCCAGTTGTATTTGTGAGATGCTAAAAATGACTTCTCTGAGACGTTTGGTGCACAGCAGGGTGCTGCTCCACCTGAGCGAGTCTCCAGGTGTGCACAGCTCCCTGCCCAGGTGCGGCAGGCTGCTCAGCACCTCCAGCAGATGCAGGACTGTCATGCCCGCCTGGGTCATTGATAAATACGGAAGCAATGAGGTCTTACGGTTCACCAAGAACGCCAGCTTTCCCATCATCAACTATCCCAATGAGGTGATTGTCAAGGTGTTTGCAGCAGGACTCAGCCCCATCGACGTCGCCATGAGAGGTGAGCGCGATTCAAGGCTGGCAAACGAGAACAGCAGCCGCACAGCGGTTGTTTTCTGCTCTGTGGTCGAAAAGAGTCAGAATGAGAGTGGCCTCTCCTCCACAAACCGCAGCATATCACTGTGGAAAGTCTGTTTCACAGTTTAAATTTTTGCACGCAGGTGCAAGAAAACACATTGTGATAAATCCGTGGTTCTTATCAGGATGAGCCAGAGGCCCGGGCCCGGGCCCAGCTCCAGGGTCCCCCGGGGCAGCTCTTATAGGCACCGTTAGATAAGATATCATTTACTTATCTGAAAATCACTGTAGCCAAAACAATAAACACAGCCTATAACAGGTGAAAAAAAGAAGCTCAGTAATGGAAAAGTGCACAAAAGGAAGAAGATGAATGAATAAATTAAAACTTTTAAGAGTGGAATAATTTAAAAGAGGAATAAAATGTGCATGACTCACTGTGATGATATAAAAACTGTGATTATCACAGAGCTGTTAGTTTAGATCACAGGTGTCAAACTCTCCGCAGCCTAATTACATTTGGCCCGCGAAGCCATACCAAATTACTATCAGAGCTGACCTACTGGTATTATACAGCTAATATATATATTGTTTAGTATTAAGCTTTGCTGTTCCATATTCAGTTTTTCAGCTAAACTTGTTTGAGTCCATAAGAAAAGATTCATTCTTATATCTGGAGGAAGATTTTTTTTTTTCAATAAATATTAACGTTAGCATGCGACTTTGTTCCATTTTGAATTTTGGCCCACTGTGTATTTCAGTTTGACACCCCTGGTTTAGATCATTTCAGCTGAAAGTCTTTCTGAAACATGTCACTGGGATGTGTGTGGTGCACCTCAACCACCTGTTTTTGCACAGCATGATTCTTTTGACCTACTCTGAGCACCAGCATTATTAGAGATATCATATTATCAACCACATGCCTGCATGGATAAAATATACAAACAACGGTGTAATAAAACATGTGATTCTGAGGGGGTTGATGGGAAACTGTTCTTTTGGTTGTTTTCAAATCTAATCAAATCACTTTTATTGTCACGTTACATGTGCAGGTACACTGGTACAGTACATGTGAGTGAAATTCTTGTGTGCGAGCTTCACAAGCAACAGAGGTGTGCAATAACATAAGAACAAGCAAATATAAGAATGGCTAAATCTGAGAATTATATGAATAAATATATGTACAATATAAGAGTGTATGCATATTACTGAATGCGTATACTAAATATGTATGTCCACGTGTGTGTACATATGTGTGTGTGTGTATACATATTTTACAAATTAAATAGAGTAAAATAAATAGATAAAATTTACAGAGGTTGGTAGTTGGATATTGTGCAAAACAGTGGCGTTACTGTACAGTGTTGAGTGCATAATGTTGAAGTTCCAGTAGTGGAGGTGAGGTGTCTATGACGTGTTCAGCAGTCTGATGGCCTGATGGAAAAAGCTGTCTCTCAGTCTGCTGGTTCGGGACCGGATGCTGCAGAACCTCCTTCCTGATGGAAGCAGTCTGAACAGTTTATGGCTGGGGTGACTGGAGTCCTTGATGATCCTCCCCGCTTTCCTCAGGCACCGCTTCCTGTAGATGTCCTGGAGGGAGGGAAGCTCACCGCCAATTATCCGTTCAGAGCACCGCACTACTCTCTGGAGAGCTTTGCGATTGTAAGCGGTGCTGTTGCCATACCAGGTGGTGATGCATCCGGTGAGGATGCTCTCAATGGCACAGTGATAGAAGGTCCTGAGGATGTGGGGGCTTGTGCCGAATCTTTTCAGTCTCCTGAGAAAGAAGAGGCGCTGCTGCGCCTTCTTCACTGTTTTGTTTGTGTGTACTGACCACGTAAGATCCTCAGCCAGATGTACACCAAGGAAGCGGAAGCTGCTCACTCTCTCCACAGCAGCGCTGTTGATGGTGATGGGGGTGTGTACTTTTCTGCACCTCCGGAAGTCCACTATCAACTCCTTTGTCTTTGCGACGTTGAGGGTGAGATGGTTGTCTTGACACCAGTGGGTCAGGGCGCTGACCTCCTCCCTATAAGCTGTCTCATCACCGTTGGTAATAAGACCCACCACTGTAGTGTCGTCCGCAAACTTTACAATGATGTTGGAGCTGTTAGTGGCCGTGCAGTCGTAGGTGTAGAGTGAGTACAGGAGAGGGCTCAGTACACACTGAGCACTAGGGCTGCCACGATTAGTCGACTATCACAATCGTCAACAACTGATTTAATAGTCAACGCTCGTTTGAAGCTTTGTAAGATCACAAAGGACGCAGGAATAATAGCAGGATTTAAGAGTGTAATAACGGACTGAAACAGAAGATGGCAGCACTGCATGTACAAGGATGCCAGCTGCCGTTAAACCCTGAAGAAGTAGCAGCTCTGTCCCAGAATTCATAGCGCAGCCCAGCTCAGTTTCCAACAATGGCAGCAGCTAGTTAGTTTTAATATTACTCTTATTATTCTTTCTGGGTCACAAAATAAACGTTTAATGTGTTTTCAGGCGAGAATGTAACTGTGTAAACCTCAAATATCTGCTCAGTTTATCAAGACACCACATATTTTCAAAAACGCTCCGATAGCTAGCCGGAGGCAAGGCTCACTAGAGCCGTGAGAACAGCGGACTCCGGGCAAATCATTTTCAAACCCACCGCCATCTTTCGCTACTCAGGTTAAACATATATAAGTCACTTAGATAACTTAAAAATGTTATTGTTTGGCTTCTTTTTAGTATTTTATTTGTTCCTGAGTAAATCGGTTTGGCTGAGATTAAAGTTTTTACACAGCTGAATAAACGTCAAGCAGACAGCTGATTATCAGAAGTGTGAGATGCTGGAGAATTTACTCCGGTGTCCTGTTATATTTTAGATAGCAAGGAGTTTATTAAATTTCACCAAAACAATCTGCAAATTTCATTAAAATTTAATAAACTATCATCTTGTCTTTATTTTTAGTTAGCACAGACCTTAAACACTTAAAGCTGTAAGCTAATGATGGTTATATAAGAGCAGATGCTGCTGGTGCAATAAGCTGTATGGATGCATGATCTGATTAGTCGACTAATCGCAAAAATAATCGGTGACTAGTCAACTATCAAAATAATCGTTTGTGGCAGCCCTAGTGAGCACCAGTGTTCAGTGTGATGGGGGATGAGGTGATGCTGCCCAGTCTGACCACTTGGCGTCTGTCAGACAGGAAGCTGAGGATCCAGCTGCAGAGGGAGCTGCTCAGTCCTAGATCCTGCAGTTTCCTGTCCAGCTTCGAGGGAACGATGGTATTGAATGCTGAGCTGTAATCTACAAACAGCATTCTCACATACGTGTCTCTCTTCTCCAGGTGTGACAGGGCAGTATGTAGTGTGGTATGTAAACCAGCGGTCCCCAACCTTTTAATATTTTCACGGACCGGTCTTTAAGGTGTCGCGGATAAATACAACAAAATAAAACTAGTACCGGTACCGAAAAAAAGAAGATTTATTCATAATACACGTGAAAAGACCCAGGAAAACAGAGTTAACGATAAAAATGATAACAAAATAACGCTGAAAACCGATAAAAGCCCTGAAAACCATACATTTCACACCTGAGCCTCAACTCTCGCGGCCCGGTACCAAACGACTCACGGACCGGTACCGGTCCGAGGCACGGGGGTTGGGGACCGCTGATGTAAACACTCCAGCCAACCGTCTACTCTATCTGCTGTATCTGAGTAAAGCTTCAGTATGATAAACTTCATCTGTGACCTCTGTACTTTCAAAACGCTCTGTGAAGTAGAAGAGGACCGAGAACGGATCCTTGAGGAGCTGCACGCGTGAATTTGAAAGTAGTAATAATTATAGGAAGTTTGAAGAGGAAGTTTTGGATTCATGCTCCTTTTAATTATGTTGCTAAGTTACTTTAAGAGACACTTTAGGACTGAGGGGCAGGATAAAGGATTAATTTGAACTGTCCAAGAATGAAAATGTGGAGCTGAAAATTACAGTTGGTGAATTACTTTGACGTCCCAGTACAAACATTCATAAACAGCATTAAATCTTTATGTAATAATCATAAACTCTTTCCCCGTCAGGTGGCTACGGCGCAGCTACATTGTCCATGAAGAGAGATCCTCTGAACATCAAGCAGTCGGGCAGTGAGTTTCCTCTCGTTCTGGGCCGGGATGTGTCCGGGGTCATCATGGAGTGCGGCCTGGACGTGAAGCACTTCAGAGAGGGGGACGAGGTAAAGACAAGAGGTGTACGCACAGAGAGCAGAATCCAATTAACTGTGATTCTTCACGGCTGCCGTCAACAAACCCTTTTAAGAGAGAAAATTCAGAAGGCCTCAGGTTTTCCTCTACGCTGTGCTGCTGCTCTCAGAAAGAATACAACCTTCCTACAAGTTGGCAACATTGCTGACCCGGAAACAATTCCCTGATCTGCTGAAGTCAGTGTTTTTGTTTCTGTGTTAATTTAATCTGACAGTGTTGCACTTGCTAATGGTGCTAACAATCTCAGTGGGCGTGGCAGAGCCCGTGTGATTGGCTACATCCACCTTCAGAGAAACCAGTACAACTTGATCCCAATAGACTTTTATTGGTCGAACATTTGGTTCTGCACTTACGGCATTCATACCTTAACGCGAACACAGTTGTTTTCATCTCTCGCTTTTTTTCTTCCCCTCTCTTTGAAAGAGTAACATAACATTGGCTCCACAGAAAACGGTGTTCAAATGCAAGCGGATGAATCCTGGTGAGGGACATCCATGTATGCGATTCAAGTTTTTCTAGTTTGGAAAGAAACAACAACTAATTATTAGTTTTAGTCAGCATCCGGCTGGCATCAGCCCTCATGAGGCTCCTGGCGTGTGAAATATATTTTACTTTCATCTTCACACTGCGCTGCCCCACAAATATCACAAAGGAAATGAGAGGAAACGTCACACCTTCATAACTTTGTGAGGTTAAACTGTTATCAGTCATAACATCTGGCTTGTTCTCCATTTTGGTAACAATACCTCAAAAGGTCACAAATGCTCTTTAAATGCTGCATTTTTAAAAAATGTGCTTTTATTTCCTTCTGGGACCTTTCAGTTCACAGCTCCATTATTATCTTATCACCACCCGTTTTGGTCAAGTTACTTGAAAAAAGTAATTATTTACTAATTATTGATTACGTCTCAAAGAAGGTATTTCATTACTTCAAAAGTAAGGTTAGGGTTCAAAAGTAATTAGTTTATTACTTAGTTTAGTGTGTGTGTGTAGGTGTGTGTGCGCTGTGACTTTAAATGTACTGTATCTTTTAACACCCATGAAGTCATTCTGCTTTTTTTACTACATCCGTAACCGTTTCCCAGAGGAGCACATGTGTGAAGTTTCTCTGAACTAGCTGCACAGAAATGCAGATTTGAGCCGTTTGTGTGTCGTCCTCAGGTTTGGGCGGCGATCCCGCCGTGGAAGCAGGGCAGCCTGGCGGAGTTTGTGTTGCTGAGCGCCAACGAGGTAATGCTCAGCGTTATGTATTTAAAATACATAAATGTCTCATTTCTCCTGTTTGTGAAGTGGAAACTTTCATCAGTGTCAGTTCTGCAGAAACAGTTTCCTTATTTATTTAGATTTTTGTTTGTTACACAGTTTAAGTTTCAATATCAGTGTGAAAAAAAAACAACAAAATAAACTAAACTGACAGACGGTGACGGTCAGTGAAAGTTAAACTGAAGGTTTTTAGATAAACTCACGGGCACGTCACTGCAACCCCCCCTGGCTTCTGCTCCACGGCTGCTGAGTGGCCCCTCATCTGGGACTCTCGTCAGCTCTTTCGGGGATAGTGGCGCAGCTGCCCCTCTGTTGGTCTTCCTTGGTCTCTTGTGTTCTGAGGGCCTCCCGATGTCTGGAGTTTTGATCTCCACCAGTAGGCAACTTCACCCGTTGCCTACTGGTGGTGGTCAGAGGGCCCGGTGGCGCAGCCTCGCCTCTGTCAGTGCGCCCCAGGGTGGCTACAACATAGCTTGCCATCACCAGTGTGTGAGTGTGTGTGTGGATGACTGTGTAAAGCGCTTTGGGGTCCTTAGGGACTAGTAAAGCGCTATACAAATACCATTTACCATTCATCTCAACTGGCTCCTTTCGATGTGGAGGAGCAGCGGTTCTACTCTGAGCCCCTCCCGGATGGCTGAACTTCTCACCCTATTTCTAAGGGAGAGGCCACCCTTCGGAGGAAGCTCATTTCCGCTGCTTGTATCCGTGATCTCGTTCTTTCGGTCACTACCCACAGTTCGTGACCATAGGTGAAGTTAGGGACATAGATCGACCAGTAAATTGGGAGCTTAGTGTAAAAGCACCACAACAGACCCGTACAGCGTCAGCAGCACCAATCTGTCCTTCTCCCTGGAGGGGTTTAAGTAAGGCGAGATACATAAACTCCTCCACTTGTGGCAAGCACTCATCCCTGACCCAGAGTGGGCACTCCACCCTTTTCCGGCTGAGGACCATGGCCTCAGATTTGGAGGTGCTAATTGTCATTCCCACCGTTTCACACTCTGCTGTGAACCGTGATCAAAGCTGATCCAGTGTTCCACGGCCAGGACGAAAACCGCATTGTTCCTCCTGTATTCAAGGTTTGACTAACATACGGACTCTCCTCTCCAGCACCCTGGCATAGACTTTCCCAGGGAGGCTGAGGAGTGTGATTCCCCTATAGTTGGAACACACCCTCCATTCCCCATTCTTAAAGATTGGAACTGCCACCCCGGTCTACCAATCCAGGGGTACTGCCCCTGATCTCCACGCAACATTGTAGAGGCGTGTCGACCAAGACAGCCCTACAACATCCAGAGCCTGCAGGAACTCGGTGTGGACCTTGTCCACACCAGGGGCTCTGCCACCAAGGAGTTGTTTAACTGCCTCCGTGACCTCGCCCCCAGAGATTGGCAGGTCATCCCCTTCGTCCCCAGACTCTGCTTCCACCTCGGAAGATGTGTCAGTGGGATTGAGGAGGTCCTCGAAGTAGTCCTTCCACCGCCCGACAATTTTCTCAGTCGAAGTCAGCAGAACTCCACCCGCACTATACACAGTGCAGGTAGAACACCATTTTCCCCTCCTGAGTCACATGACGGGTTGCTTTTTCCATGGCCTCTCCGAACTCCTCCCACACCCGAGTTTTTGCTTCAGGCACCGCCCGAGCCACCTTCTGCTTAGCCTGTCGGTACCTACCAGCTGCCTCCGGAGTCCCACAGGCTAACCAAGCCTGAGCTCGTTGACTCCCCTCACCTCTGTTGTCCACCACGACAGGCACCAACCACCTTGCGGGCGCAGCTTAGTGCAGCGGCTTCAGCAATGGAGGTGCTGAACACGGTCCATTTGGACTCAATGTCCCCAGTCTTGGAATGCTGTTGAAGCTCTGCCTGAGGTGTGTGTTGAAGCTCTCAAAGACTGGAGCCTCTGCTAGCCTTTCCCAGCACACGCCAGGTCTGTCCAGCGTCCTCCCTCACCTGATCCAACTCACCACCAGGTGGTGAGCAGTTGACAGCTCAGCCCATCTCTTTACCCAAGTGTCCAAAACATATGGCCTCAGGTCTGGTGATACGATTAAAATACATCATCGACCTGTGGCCTAGAGCGTCCTGGTGCTACGTGCACTTATGGACACTCTTATGTTTGAACATGGTGTTCGTTATGGCCAAACTGTGGTTTGCACAGAAGTCCAACAACAAAACACCGCTCGGGTTCAGCGGTAAACCCGGTGCTCCCTAACTCTGTCCCGGGCAGGATGAACTGTTCCCTCGATGGTCTTGTCATAGTGGTCTTCTGAATCGCTCTTTGTGTGGTCCCTCACCCAGGACCAATTTGCCATGGGAGACCCTACCGGGGGGCAAAAGCCCCCAGACAACGTAGCCCCTGGGATCCCTGGGACACACAAACCCCTCCACCACGATAAGGTAGCGATACGTGGAGGGGCTTCTACTTTTTTAAAGTTTAATTTACTCTGAGTCTATTTTCTTGTAAATGTTCTGGGTTTTTAGCTCATACAGGTGAAGGTTTACTGAGCCTCTGTCTGTTTGTCCTGTCACAGTTCACAAGAACTATAACTCAGTCAGATTTTACATAACGATCTCTGATTGGTCTTAATCTGAATCCTACTCAAGTTCAAGGTCCCATTTGTCACTGTATAGACGATAAGCTATGAACTGTGATGCTTTTTTATCAAATTTCCTTTTTTTCCCTGTAATATATTTTAATACTGTAATCCTGACTTTTTTTTAGCCCAGTCACCCCCACCTTAATTATTTTGAATGACACCAATACTCCTTTTTACTGCTTCACTTCCTCTAAAATGTAGAGATGAGCTGTTTTCATGATGACTAAAGGAAGCTGCTGCTCTTATTAACTGCTGCTATTATTACTGTTTGTCCTGTTTAGGTGTCCCACAAACCAAAGTGTCTGAGCCACATCGAGGCTGCTGCCATTCCCTACGTGGCAACCACCGCCTGGTCAGCGCTGGTTAATACTGGCGGTCTGAGAAAGGACAACTGTGCCAACAAGAGGTGAGGACATGGAAAGTTTAATCCATCCCAGTGAAGCTCGCCAACTGTTCCTCCTGAGCCCCTTTTAGCTCGCTTAAGGCGGGATCTAAAAGGAGCCTCGTAAACTCTAGATGCAAATAATATGATGAGTGAAACAATATAATTGATTAATTGACCAATCAGACGAGGCCAAAGTCATGCCACCGCCACCCTAACGATTAGTTAATAACATTTAGCCATTTCATCAAATATTACTTCATTCCTCACAAACTGCTTCTGCATCTGTGCTTTTTGTGGCATAAATAACAACACGTGGCTCATCTGAGGTTGTACTAACCTCATCTTAGAACCTGATAATTATAAAGATATTTTTTATTAAGTCCTGAGATTGGACCGGGTAATGAGCCCTGACCAGTGTGTTTACAATTTGCACTAATTTACCTGCAAGACAAAACAGAGGGAAAAATGTCCTTACCCCACATCAGTCTCAGTGTAAATAAAATGGGCCACCGGAAACATACCAATAAACCAGCTACAGCGATGTAACTAACCTGACGCTTGTTTCACCAAAGAGGCCTTTGTTGGGGGTGAGGGGAGGAAGACGAGCAACTGCTGAGTGGAGAAAAGTCAAAGCGTTGTGGACAGTGCAGATTGAGCTATAATAAACAGCTGTATCAGTGCCTGCGCTGCTTCGTGTACCAAGTACCAACAGTGCAACACAGGTGACTGAGTGATGGCCATATCCACCAGGCACCTGCTGACACTTACCTGAAACCCTCATGTGACAATCACGAGGACAAAAACCACCAACTTAGAAATACAATACAAATACGAGCAGCAGGATTGAACCTCGGATCTCATGTTACACAACATGGAAGCATGGAGAGTATTTTTTAACTTCAGGTAAATAAAGTCCTGTTTTAATACATGATGCAGATACATGCAGTAATTTAGAATTATTGTCTTATATTTCTCATATTAGCTGCATTGCATTGACTTTATCCCATCGCAGCTTTGTTTCTATTTGACCAAAGGTTTCTTCTGCTTAATGTTAGCTTACCTGCTAACATGAACACACCTGTATAACAGTCGCCTCCAACCAACACAACCAGCTGCTTTTTAATGTTTGCCTTTATTAATCGGTTTGATAAAAGACAGTTTTCTCGCTCTTATTTTGAAAGTACCTGCAAGCTGAAAGGAGAAAAAATACGTTTTTTTCCTTGTAGTTGTTTTTTTCTTTTTTGGGGGGAAAAGTCGCCGGGTTTCCCTTCAGTTGACCAGGTGATTGCTTCGGTTGTCTCCTTCATTGTTTTGGCTTTTCTGCTGCAGGATTTTGATCCTTGGAGGATCTGGAGGAGTGGGAACGTTTGCTGTACAGGTACGCATGAAAAGCTGGACAATAATGACCACTTGTGGTCACCTAAACACTCGCCATGTCACAATGAAGTAACGTTTGATCTGAAAAATGCTCACAGGTTAGACGCTCACCTGGTCTCACATTTAATATTTGATTTAAGCACAGTTAACTCTGACGTCTGATCGCAGACGTAAACCGTTAAAAAACAGCTGGAGTTTTTCCACTAGGTAAAAACACATTAAAGCTAAACATGTAAAATATCCTTAAAATCAGCTTCAACACCATCTCTCTTTAAATATTAGAGAAAAAAAAACAACTGCACTTCTTTAGCTTAAAAAGAACAAATTCTTACATTTTTTCTTCATCATGGTTAAAATGAAAAACTAAACATTTGATTTAACCGAAATGAAACTTGTATACAAGTCTGATGTTGTTCCTGCTCAGATGGTGAAGGCGTGGGGCGCCCACGTGACCGTTACCTGCTCCCAGAACGCCGAGCAGTTCTTAAGGGGGCTCGGGGCGGACCACGTGGTGGACTACACCGCTGGGCCCGTCGAGGAGCCGCTCAGCGCTCTGGAGAAGTAAGCAGGCCTCACTCCGACTGAATCTCTGCCTCCGTTTGTCATCTTGGTCTGATTTACTTTGTTATCTTTAAGGTTTGACCTGATCCTGGATAATGTCGGGGGTGACACGGAGAGTTGGGCGTTGAAGCTGCTGAAGCCGTGGAGCGGCGCCAAGTACGTCACCCTGGTGACGCCGTTCATGCAGAACACCGACAGGCTGGGTGTAGCTGACGGCATGATGCAGTCCGCCGCTACAGTGGCCAGCAAGGCCTTAAAAGTAAGCTTAGATGGAGTTGTTTAGTTTTCTAACTTTCATAGAAACAGGAGGTTTTTTACACTTTGTTTTCTCGGTTGTAGGGTCGGAATATTAAACCAGCGACAGACACATTCAGTGGTGTTTATTTTCAATTTTAACACCTGGGTTTGGGTACAGCTATAGTGGAAGGTTGGCTCGTATCACTGCCCTTGTTCCTGGTGGGGTTTGTACTCCACCACGCCTGCCCTTGGAGTTCTGTTCATAATGTTCATGAGCAAAGGTTGTAGGTGCAGTGGTCTCAGAATCTCGTGGTAGTTTGCAGGGATGAAAAGTTGCACCTTGAAGTTTAAGGTCATGATTCTCCACCAGAAAAAGGGTGGAGTGCTCACTCTGGGTTGGGGAGGAATTTCTGCCCTGAATGCAGAAGTCTGTGTTTCAGGAGTGCGAGGTGCAGTGTTGCACGCTGTGATGACCCTGAAGGTGCTGATGTTGTGGTTGTTCTACACGCCTACTCTCACCATGTGACTGCAACCTGCGGTAGAGCGAAGGAAGACGATCGAGCTCCTCTGTGAGAGCTGACGGTGAAGAGCCGAGGTTGTTTGGCATCTGATCCAGATGCTGTTTTGGACATGCCTTGTTGGGAGGAGCTCCTGGGCCAGACACGGGACTAATGTTTGGCTATTAATGAACAAATCCACACAATAATTCATACAGATGTTTAACTTTGTCCTTTACGTTCCATTTTTGACTGTCTGCCGAGTTGTTCTTACAAAATAATATATTTTTTCTCTCCCAATTGCCAAGTATGGAATCTAAGTTAGAATTAGAACAGATTTATTCCAGTAGTAGCTCTGACTTGTGTCATAATATGTGCAGTTGTGGACTTTCTGCAGATAAATTTAGGTTTGTGTTCCTTTTATACTCTGCGCATTTCTTCCAGGTCCCTAAAAATCAGACATGGTACCTGAAGAAAAAATGTGAAAATGCAGCAGGTTACTTTCTGGTGGCTGAGGCCCCGCCCCCTGCTGCAAGGCAGATAAAGAAAACAGTCCTGAACTCCTAAACTCTCTGTCGGAGCAGATGACATCGTCCACCTATACACAGACGCACGCACAAGCACTCACATCCTCTGTGGGTGTTATAGTAACAGCCTGCACTTTGCATGCAGCGCACTCGCCCGACCACAGAATCCACAGCTGTGCTCTGCTCTGCACAGCAAAGGATGCAGAATCAAGATGCAAGGAGATAATCTAGAGTTTTAGAACAATAAGTTACACCCTTCAGTCTTTGTGGAAATATGAGCGGTTACACATTAAGCCACATCTTTTTCTTTTTTTCAATTCAGTAATAAATAAATATATGATTGAAATGGAAACTTTAATTCCAGTTTAACAGCATGAACTTCATTTGCTGTCAGCAAATGAAGTGTAGAAGTCACGGGCACTGGCTGATTCGGTGTTTCCACAATGCTCTGCAGACCTGCCGGTGGGTCTCTCTGCCTTCAGTGTTGGATTCAGGCACTGATAAGCTTCTCTGTTAGGCTGAGATCCGGTGACTGACTTGCTCGTTGTAGAATCTCTCATTTCTTGGGTTGTTTTTGTAGTATCGTATCCACCTGCTGTGGAGCTGTGTCTGAATCTGAGCAGAGAGTACAGCCTCGAACGCATCACACTCATCCTGCTTCTATCATTCTGGTCTAACTTCATTTGGGTTTAATCTTTCCAAACTGGTTTCCTGAACCCTGCACATAAATGTATTTGAAGCATAATGTGGCCTTCCTGCTCTTTAGCGTAACCAGTGGCTGCGCACTGTGGTCGTAACTCAATATTTCCATTTATGGAGCCGTCTCTTTATTGTTGACATGAAAAAATAACGCCTACGTCCTTCAGTGCGTTCTTGACCTGATTCGATGTGGTGATGATGTTTGTGTAAATCATGGAAATGATTCTGTCATCATACACTTCACTTGTCTCAGGCTGTTATTTATATGTACAGTTAAAACATGTCCCAGACTGTTGATTTGAGCAGTGACATCTTTGGATCTTCGCTTCAGTCTGAACGAACACTTACCAAATATAAGTTCAACACTTTGAGTCAACTTCAAAAATAGTTTGCTTTTATTATCATTAACTAGCAAAGGTTTAGGCCTCGCCCAGTCCTGAAACTGCTCGTCAGTCAGTTGTCCACTTACTTTTGAGCGTCTCAAAATGGGGAGCTGTTTGTAAAAATAGCTGCAGTTCTGTCAAACTAGTCATTCTTGTGGAAATTACATAAAAATGAATAATTGTCCAGAAACCTGTGGGCTCAGTGTAGGTGGGGAATGGAAAATAAACAGCAGTACCATGTGTTGCATGTGTAGAGAGGATTCGTGTCAATTTTTTTCAAATTAAAAAGGAAAGTATTTGTATCTGAAACATCGTCTGAGGTCAGGCAAGTGTGGGTAACTTCAGAAGTAGTTCAGAGTTTCAGGTTAGTCTCATTTTCCACGGCGGCATAAACCACTGTAACTGAAATTCCCCAACACAAAGTTTGTAGTAGCAACCAAATTCTGCATGTAGTTACACACACGGGTAACCGTGCACGAATGATTTTGCAATATCAAATTCACATTGAATGATAATTCGTGGTGCATTTAGTGTTTAAGGATGTTTTTTAGCTCATCTGCGACCTGCAGATCTGATCCTCATTTATGAAAAGCTCTTAGATTTAAGCAATCAGCACAACTTTGAAGCAGGGAGGAGAGTTTAATCAGGAATGACTCATGGACTAAAAGACAAAAGAGAAAGAGGCTGAAATGAAACCAAAACTGAGCGAGAACAAGATGCTGGCATTCAGGACAGAAGAGGTTCATGTTCAGCTCGTTCCAGGCGTCCAAACGTTCATCGTTGGCTTTTTCAAACAAATGAATCTTTTTGTTTTGTTTTGTTTTGTTTTTACAGGTTTCTAAGTGTCATGTTCAAGGCTGAAATATTGTCAGCTCTGTTTTGTTCCCGATCATAAATGTTTACGAATTAAGAAAAAAGAAAAAGAAGCTGCAGTTCCTCTGAGATCCACTAGAGGCTCCAGCAGTGAGGTTCGGCCTGTTTACGGCCTGATACAGAAAGTCTCTCTTCATATCAGCTGCACAGGGGGAGGATGTTTTTGTAATGCACCCGTTTAAAACTTTATTAAGACTTAAAGTTTGCAGTATTTTGGGGGTGTGGCCTCTTTGACTGACAGGTGGATGCTATACATGCTAGCAGTCTGCTCAGCTCCACCTCAGCTATTGCAGACCCGGATCTGCACCTCTGGACTGTATTTGTGCTGTTTGCATGTTTTTATGCAGTTGTGTGACTAATACTGTGGCAGCTGTGACGTTGTTGTGCTAACAGACCATCCAAGAGGCTGGAAACTCAGGACTCTGGCTCCTGTTATGGTAGCTTGACTGCAAAAGGCACAGCTGGGTCACAGTGGCCGTATCCATCTCTTGTATACAGTTGTTGTTTATAAGACTCGAGTTAATTTGCCAAAAAAGGGAAAAACCACAAATTTATTGTCATTTTTCAAAATTTTCTATCAGTGTCGTGTTTGTTCTGGTTTCTCATTTTAAAGTAAATTTAACCTTTGCATCAGGAAGGAGGCGGAAGAAGAGCGTGGATGGCGGTAACAGGGCGGGACTGCCCCACAAACCTTCCATTGTTTTTCTTGTTAAATGTAAAGTTACTGAGTTGATGTCAGACTGTGGGGGTTGCAGGCTGGCACATATTCTACTCACGCTAACTTATTCCAGAATAACATCAGTTTTGAAGATTTGAAGGTGAAGCAGGATGGAGGTATACCTGGAGCAAATCTACAGGAAACAAATGAAACTGTGTGTTTGTGCACTTTGTGTTTTCGCTTCCTTTAACACAGAGACTAAGTTTCCAATCCCCCCCCCCCCCCCTCTCTCTCTCACACACACACACACACACACACACACACACACACACACACACACACACACACACACACACCCTGGCCTTCTTTACCACCTTCATCCTGCATATAACCACACAGTGACTGTTTCCATTTCCACAGAAGTGTAAGGGTTGAAATGGGGTTATCTGCTTTTGTCGCACACTGTGTTTGTTGAATATCAGACGATTTGATTCACAGCATTGTCTTATTATTTTGCGCCTACAGAATCTGTGTAATCTGAACTCAGATCTGTGACGGCGCAGGTTTTCCAGCAGCTGATTCATAGTTTGGGTGTTCGGTGACTTGAGTTTTGTGGGTTGTTATCGACTCACAGATGTATTTAAGCAACACGAGCTTTAAAAACAAACAAACCGAAACTGGTGCGAATCTGTCCTTATCCACGTTTTTATCTTTTATTTATTCATATTTTGGTCATTACATCAAATATATTTCTCCCTTTGTGTTTGATGAGATTGAATCAGCACAAATATTAAAAATAAATGGAACTAGAAAATATGTCAATGGGAACACGATTTAAATTAAAAGTTTCATAAAGACAACAACAATAATATCAAAATAAGTCATCATGTTTCTGTTTTTTGAAATATATCTTTACATTATGATTGTCTTTTATTTTAAATGTATTAAAGTATTTCAGTGTTCTGTGTTTGTGCTGATTCATTTTTTTTCTGCTGTTTTCGTGCAGCACCTGATGAAAGGAGTTCATTACCGCTGGGGATTCTTTGCACCCAGCGGCTGTGCCTTGGATGAAATCAGGGACATGGTGGATGCAAAACAGGTATGACGCTGTATTTACCCTGCGAGCTGAACATGGATGCTGTTCCATCGTGGTTTAACACTGTTAGCACGTTAAATACCACAGACTGTATGTAAAAATGAGCATAGCTACTTCAACTCTGCCTTGTTTTCCTTAATAGCCCCCCTGGTTGGATGTTTCTGGAGACGTCATGGCCTCGTATATATACACATATACACATATACAGCTGACTCCCACTCCAAAGGTGTGTAGTCTTACCACTACACTACCCAGCTCACAACTTCATATCTCCAGTTCCCCACTTTACCCTCTATCTGAAACGTGCCCTTGTGCAAACCTTCTTCTGTTTGGCTGTTTCCATCAACGGCACCCGTTGCTTGTTAGCTCCGCCTCATTCTCTTTCACCTGGAAGTCCATCATAGCTGCCTCTTTTCATGGAAGACTCCTGTGTTGAGGAATCAAAACCTGTTATTTGTAGTGGGTGGGTGTGGCTTCTGTGCCTCTGACATCATAGAGTTCTAAGAGTTGAAAAAACTGATAAATTGTGTGTTCAGAGCAGCCTGTGCTTTTGGCTTACAGGGTAACTTGTCAATTCAGGGTCTGCAGCCTTAAAGTACGCAGCCTCAACGTTCCTCAAGGGCCGCGTACTTAAAGACCGCTAAGGCCGGAAGTGCTAGGCTTGTGAAATGGGACGGTCTAGCCTTCAGAATTAAGTCATGAGCTCTCTCAGTGGAGTGAAACTCAGCCGTCTGCTCCTTGCTGTCTAAAATATAATCAGACGCTGACGTAGATTCTCGACCATCTCACACTTCTGTTTAATCAGTTTTCTGTTTGACGTTTAGTCAGCTGTGTGAAAATCCCGGAGGAACCCCCCCGAGGGATTAATAAAGTTTTTATTTAATCTAATCTAATAACTTTAATCTCAGCCAAACCGATTTACTCACGAACAAATAAAACACTGAAAAAGGCCAAACAATAACATGTTTAAGTTATTTGAAGTTTACTCAGCTACATTCTCGCCTGAAAATATGTTAAAAGTTTATTTTGCGACCCAGAAAGAGTAACAAGAGTAATGGTGGCTCCGGGAGATTTTCGGGAGGGGCACTGAAATTCGGGATTCTCCTGGAAAAATCGGGAGGGTTGGCATGTACGCCCTCTGGAGGAACATGTTATGGCATGACCAACACCAGGGATCTATATAGCAAAAAGAAGAAAGGATTTTTGTATTAGGAACGTTAGAAAAAACAAAAGTAAACCTACTCTAAGCTGTCACTAGCAGGACTTTTATTGTAACAAACTCAGTGCGAGTGATTTACCAGTAATAACAGTTTAACACTAAAATGGTGGACGGTGTGGGTCCATCAAGAAGTGAGCAGCTTTCTAAATGCTGTGCATGATGTTTACAAAATGAAACGATGGACAGGTCATTACTATGCTGACTATGGAGCTAGCGTGAAGCTTAGATTAGCTGGAAACTCAATGCTTTCTTTCACTCGCTGTCCTTCCACTGTCCTTATTTATATTATAGCATTTCGGTCTGTGTGACCTTCGTCAGGTACAGAGATGAAGGTCGCATTAGCATGTTCGTGTGACTTGTT